TCTCTGTTAATGGTAAACAGTTCACGAGCCAGGAGGCGATTTTACTAAATATACTGCACGCTAGCACAAACCACGCCCACCATAATACGTCATATCTCCAAACATTACCGATATACTCGGAGTCAGCACATCGTACTAAATATACTGTGCTCTAACGCAAGAATACACTTTTTATGATTTTGACACGAATTCGACAATCTCTTGTACGCAGTAAATTCATATACCCAAATGGTCTTCTGGTTAGCGCTGTCGACTTTCAGTCTGAAGGTCCGCGGTTCGAATCGCTCTGAACTTGAACTTTTTTTTGCAACTTTTTTTTTCACCAATGTTTTTTTACTTCATTCTGGTTCTTCTTTTTAAGAAAATATTTGAAGACAAATAGGTTAGTGCGTTTAGGATAAACAGTCTCATTTTATTCAATTTTGTTGAAGAACTTAACTTTTGAAATATATTATTAATCAATGTGTTTCTACACTATATTCTGGTTTTCCTTCCTCAAAAATATTGCAATCAGGGATAGGTTAGTTCGTTAAGGATGAATAGTCTCTGAGTTTTGCCTATGTACTTCGAAGATGAGATATTACAACTGAAAGTTGATGCAAATCTTTTTTGGAGCTAACAGGTGGAGTTATTTAGAACTCTTTCATGGGATAATCATGTCAGATCCATCGCAAAAGCTGCTTCACAAAAACTCGGATTCTTGTTCCGTGCGAAAAGCTACTTTACACCTCAACAGCTCCTCATGAGCTACGCAGATACGGCCTGTTTTAGAATACTGTTCCCACATATGGGGTTCAGCACCAAAACATGCACTGATGCTCTTAGATTCCATCCAGAGAAGAGCCATTCGCCTGGTGGGTGATGCCACACTGACTCACTCTTTGACATCATTGGAACACAGTAGATAGGTCGGCGACCTTCCACTTCTCTATCGATACTTCCACGGGAAATGTTCTTCGGAAATCTCTGCTATCATCCCTTCACTAGCAAAACCAGTCAGGCGAACTAGACAGCCCAGTCAGCACATCCTTTCGTTGTCAACCTCGAAAGATGTCGAACAGCACTTTATCAAAACTCCTTTATATTAAACGAAGGGTTTGTTTAGAGTAACTCGAAAAATAATGTGACGTCATTTTGAATCCAATATGGCGGACCATCCAAGACGGCGCAATAGTTATTTTTAATGCACTTCTACAATATGGATATCAAATGAAGGGGCTTGTTGGGAGTAGCTCGGAAAATAATGTGACGTCGTTCTAAATCCAATATGGCAGACTATCCAAGATAGCGGAATAGTTATTTTCAATTCACCTATACAATATGGGTATCAAATTTGAGGGCTCTTTGAGAGCAACTCGGAAAATGATGTGACGTCAATCTTAATCCAATATGGCAGACCATTTTGTTTTCAATATATGTCAACAACCTTCTTACTTTAAACATCAGAGCGAAAATATATAGTTTCGCAGACGATACTGCGATTCTATATACAGCGCCGACTTGGTCAGATCTGAAAATGAAGACGGAAAGGGATTTGGAGCGAATTATCGATTGGTTCAATCACAAAGTATTAACAGTAAATTTTTAGAAAACAATTTTTTTACCTTTTGCAAGTTATAAATCCTCACTGCCAAACTTCCAGACTCTGGACATCCAAAGCCAGAATGAAATTATCAAAATAAAGAGAGCAAATAGTGTTAAATATCTTGGAGTTACCATAGACCCAAATCTCAAATGGGATAAACATATTAGTAATGCAACTAATACATTGAGAACAATATTGTTCAAATTGAAACAGTTATATAAACTTATAAATATTAGATATTTGAGAGTTGTATATTTTGGTCTCGTCGAATCCCGTTTACAGTACGCAATACTTAGCTGGGGCGGCACATATTATACACAAATGCAGAAACTAGATATACTACAAAAGATTCTAAAAGTAATGCTTGGAAAACCAATGACATACTCCTCAAAATGTATATTCTCTGATGCAAAAATAATGAATTTGAGAAAATTATACATGTTCAGTATGATCATTTATTTGTATAAAAACAAATATACATTACAGAGAATCAATCATCGCTATCTAACTAGAACAAAATCGAAACACTATGTGACAACAAATGCAGCCGAAAAGTCTATAGGTCAGCAAAATTTTCAATACTTAGCTAATAGGATTTTCAACTATTTACCAGAAACTTATAAAATCTATATTCTTGAAATCAATTCAATCGAATATATCAAGAAAAAATTTAAAGTATACTTACTGGAGCTAGACATTGACATTGTAGCTAGTATCATAGAAATGTAGGAACGTACATAATATATAATTATGGCTCAGGGCATATGCTAGTAGACTCTTTTTTTATACATCCCATGACAACCTACTGAGGTTTTATGGGTTTGGTTGTTTATTTAATACAATATAGATCAAAATGATCGAAATTACTACTTATACTACTCATATACTTTGTCATTTGTTATTTTTTTCATCTTACTGTTATATTAGGAATTTTTGTATTAATGAACATATATTATTATTATTATTATTATCCAAGATGGCGGAATAGTTATTTTTAATATACTTTCACAATATGGGTATCAAACGAAACGGCTTGTTGAGAGTAACTCAAGAAATAATGTGCCGTTATTCTAAATCTAATATGGCGGAACTTGCAAGATGACGGAATAGTTGTTATTCATATGCACTTCTGCAATATGGGTATCAAATGAAAGGGCTTGCCGAGAATAATTGTAAATGATGTAACATCACTCTGAATCCAATATAGCACATTGAGTTTTTTGTGCTTTCCTATAATGAAGGGGTTCGCTAAGAATAAGAAGATAAAAAAATTCGATTTTTAAGCCTGTAACATCGATTGATTAACTTTGACAACCCCAAAATCAAACTCGGAACTGTTGTTTCGTCAGGCACAAGTGAGCTCCAAGCTGAAATGAGTAACGCATTCCCCAAATACACCCAAGTCAAGGTGAGGCCGTGCCGAGGAATGAGTGGCATCGGAGTGTAATATGATGTCATGAACGTACCACCTCAGGGCACCTGGGCGAACCCTGTTGTATATTAGCTCTTACCATTCTAAGAGCTCTGGGAGGGTAGACGAATCTTTCTTCGGTACTCGTGGGAGCAAAATGGAAAAAACAGAAACATCAACACTAACGGCAAACGACCTTGTAACAATTATGCGTTGAATGAAATGAACAGACTGAGAAACCTAGCCAGCGATAACTAAAATCAAGAAATAAATTGAAAGTGAAAAAAAAATTATTAGAAAGCTTTTATTTAAACACTCTAAAAAGAATAAACTGAAATATTCCTTTATAATTTCAACTATCAATTTATAAACTCATTATACACAATTTATATGATCATAAAAGCTTGTGGTGATGATAAATATTTGATTAAATTGAAATTTTAAAAATTCAAACTCGGCACATTTTACAAAAGTATATTAGTACTACTTTATTCACACAAGTAAATCGCGCTACAAGCGTTTATGTTCATATAAATTGTGTATAATGAGGATATAAGTTGATAGTTGAAAGTATAAAGGAACATTTTATTGTATTCTGTTTAGTGCGTTCAAATAAAAGCATTCTATAATTGTTTTTTTTACTTTCAATTTATTTTTGTTTTTCAATTACCATAGACCCATATTGATTCAATATAAGAAACTTTTCTGTAATGGCCAGAATGTTCATTGGTTTTAGGAACAAGCCATCCATTGTTTATATGGAAGACACTCTTGCAGAACAGTATGGACATCAGGTACAACTTCCACTTTTCCACTGCATTTTCAACCTAATTGAGTTGATATGACAGTCCAGCAATCACTATAGACATCATGGCCAGCGTGGAAGATTCGTGGAAAAATCTTTAGAAATGTGGATAAAGGCTCTGAGACTGGCAACTCCTGAAACATGGGCCAATAGTGCTCGTCATTCTGAAGAAAGAACTCAGAGTTGGTGGAAAATAGAAAAAAATTTGGATTCACTAGATAATTCACAAGTGATTCTATATGTAGGTAAGGATGAATATGATGATAGTGAAGTGAATAAATGGAATTTGAAATTGTTCAATGTGCTAGAAATCAGGATTAGAAAATTTTATGTATGTTATAGTGATAGTTTATTTCAGCTCACCTTGAATGACATAGTAGTTTCATCAGTTTTTACTCATGAATTATATTAGGAATATTGAAGTGAGAACAACTTTCATTGTCAACAAAGTTTCTATACACATTTACAATTTTCCACATCTTCAACTTCATCAAAATATTTTTTTCTTGAATATATATACATATTCCGAAATTTCATTATCTCAATTCGAATATTGTTCACTCATTCAAAGTAATGAAAAAAAAAACGAATAAAAATCATTGGAAAAGGAAATTTCCTGAATGTTTCAATATTACCTATAGCAAATTCGACAGGTTGATGATACCAATTGGTTTCTCAAAATTTTGTTCAGTAGAATTGTTGAAAAAATATTATGATCGACGATCTGAGGACTAGACATATCTCTAATCGGGCGGTTGGTCATTTCCTTTCAACCGGCAGCACTGCATGTTAAAAATCAAAATGCTTATGTTGCTTTTTAGTGGAAAACTCTGCCACATCCCAACCGGATTCCAAAATAATATGATGCACCCTTCATTGGAAGGAGTTTCACAAGATAGGTTTAGAGTAGAGTAGTTCCATTTGAAATTTTGAATGTTGGCTTGACTGTAAAGAACGTTTTTCCCAGGAACCGGCGGGTGTCAGCGGATTCTTAAAGAAAATCGGATTCTGTTGTCAGAACCAGTATGTACACAGGGACTTGAATTATTCGAATATTAATATGTTAGAACCTATTGGAGTTTTCGAAGTTCAGCTCTGTACTACTTGTACTTCTAAATATTAAATCTACTATTTAACGTGTCTATTAGGTAATTAAAGTTCTTGTAGGGTATGTAAATGGGTAAATCAAATAGGCATACCTTGCAAGTAACCTGAATGTCACGAATTTTGGCAAGAAGGTGTATAAATTCTCCAAAAAGAATAACGGACTTGCGAGTAATGGCTTCTGTCATCATCCTTTGCTCTATCTCAAATTTCAAGAGGCAAAGTGCAAGGGTGGAAGATCTGAAGAATGCACAATAGTTATCTGCAAGCAGAACTTCTAGGCGGGTAAGAAGTTCTTCAATCTTGAATTTTTCCCTGCAAATGAAAGTCAGATTGTCAGATTGGGAAAGAGAAAATAAAATGAATTATATCAAGGCAGAGATTTTCTCCTAATGAAAATGTGCAAATTTTGATGAAAGTTAATTCGATATTATAGTAATTCATTTATTATACATGTGGAACTCTATGATGGAATAAAATCCGTATTTCCATATTAGGAATATATTTTTGAAAATCCTCGGACAGGACGATAATAATTTTTGTTGAAAATTAATTTTTTTCACATAAAAATGTTCAAACCCCTTAAAAAAATTTAAACTCTACAAGGGGTCGAGTTATAAATTGTTGAAAGGTATTTTGAATCTCTATACAACAGTATTTTTTATTTCAATAGTATTACTTGTAAAGTAAATTCACCTACATTTAAAAGCAGTTCTTTATATTGAATTCCTGTCTACGCCTATTTTTAATGGAACAGTACCTATCATTACCAATCATTTCCAATAAATATTAAATCGTTAGACTGCATGCTCTCTTGCGGATATGGCTAAACCGAATTGAAACAAAAGACTAATGTATGGAGATTTAAAATATCTCTCTAACAAGGTGTTACTTGACCCCTTGTACAATTTAAAAATTTTGAAGATGTTGATCTGTGGGGCAGGAGGTCGACAGGTGATTTAAAAATTTTACGTGAAAATATTAATTTTAAAACATAAAAATCGACCGGTCCAAGGATGCTTTTATTTATAATTATGTTATGGATACACGCATTGTATTCCACGATATAGCTTTACACACTCTAATAAATCAACAGTTATTATTTCAATGTAATTATAATCATTGTCATACGTCTTTATTAACTTGATATATTGATATCTTAAAAGAGTGGGCCAACGAGAACGAAAAAGAATGAGAAGGAGAATGTTTTTCAACGCTGAAATAGGTTTACAATTCATGGAAGGTACCATGTATGAAACATAATGATATGAATGGTAATTTCCCACTTTTTTTTATGATCTGGTTCCCACGAAAAGGGATATCCTGTAATGTTCAGAGAACATCGTGAGAACCAAGGGAAAAAGGTAGGAATTGGTGTTCTTCTTGAATTTCGAGGTTATATGCCTCGGGGAACACCTCCCTTGGCAATGTGTTCCAGAGCCTCACTGTTCGTTGGATGAACGAGTCTTTGAAAATAGATGTTCTGCAGGTCTCCAAAGTGACCAAGAAGGGGTGCGAAGCCTCAAATCGACGGGTTGATCTCGCGGGGACTGCCAAGGGAGGTATAATTGTTGATATTTCAAAAGAGTATCGTCCATGGAAATATCTATAAAATAGAGCCAGATCGCCAACTTTTCTACGGTGTTCCAGAGAAGTGAGTTTGTGAGCGAGGCATCACCCACGAGACGAATTGCCCTTTTTTGGACAGAATCCAACAGTTTCAGGGTATCTTTGGGTGCTGCACTCCAAATATGGGAACAGTATTCTAGGACAGGTCGGATCTGTGCCTTATAAATCATAAGCAGCTGACTGGAAGTGAAATAGCTCCTGGCCCGAAACAGAAAACCAAGTTTTTGGAATGCACTCTTCGCAATTGATCTCTCGTGATTTTCCCAAGAAAGGTTATTGCTGATAGTAATACCAAGCATCGAAATGGATGTCTTCGAGGTATGGTTAATCCTGACATGCTTATGTTTGGCACAGTGAGATCGGCTTCTCTAGAGAAAAGGCATGCTTGTGTTTTGTTTGCATTGAAATCTACCAAGTTATTGGATCCCCATTCGAGAATTGTTGCCAAGTCCATATTTATGTTGTCAACATTTCTCCCTCGTTCGTTTCTGATTTGCCTGGCTGGAATTGGAGCCCTGGAAGAGAAGGCGGTATGGAGGGTATAATCATCTGCGAAGCTGTGTACTGGACATGAAGTTGCTTCCAACAAATCGTTGATATGGAGTAGAAATAGTGTTGGTGCTAGAATTGATCCTTGCGGAACACCAGCATTTATGGTAAGAGAGTCAGTCCACTACATGGAGAGACCTGTTTGAGAGAAAACTAGCTAGCGAAAACATAGATGGGGAGGCAAGCCGTAAGATGGAAGCTTGGCGAGGAGTCCGTGGTGCCAGACTCGATAGAATGCTAAGGCTAAGGTTTCACCATATTTTTCAATAGATTGCTGCCATATATGTGAGACGTAAGCGAGGCACTGGGCAAAGAACATCAAAAGGATGTTTTCTGACGTTATTTTCTCGAAGTAATAATGGTAACTTTCCATAATCACGTAACAATGACGAATATTGTGGTGGTCCAGATTATAGGGGGCTTAAAATGAAAATTCGGAAAAACGCTCGGACCCGTCAATTTCTGATTCGAGGGGAAACGGCTTGTCTGCTTCTTTCCTCCCCGTTACTTCAACCCCCTACCATGGGGAAGCACAACCCCTGGATTTTTTTAGTAGGGATGAGGGTTGTGGCGATACCTCATTCTGAATATTTCATCGAATACCTACCCTCTAATTTCGCGTCGAGAGATATGATAGTGGAAGAGACAATGACGAATTTAGCTCGAAAATATTATTCTTATTAGTGTATTCATTATTGAAAAGTATTCATTTTAAAAGTTTGTGGACGCACTATCTGTTCGATTTACCTCAACGTTGTTGCATATTCACGATAAACTGAGGTAAATCGAACAGATAGTGAGTCCCCAAACTTTTTTGTGACAACAATAACAAAGACGTTCCACTTTTGAATGTTGTATGTAAAAGTGAGAACCGAAATAGGAAAAAGCTGTGATTGTTCAGTTTTGTTCAGACGCAAGAATGTATTTTCCAGGGCACTTTCAGCGCATCTGAAGCGTAAAACTTATGTTATCCATTGAATACAAGGATTGCACAGAACCATTCGCCAGTTTGGTTCGAAAGTTCATGCATTGCATTGCATTGTTGTTTTTTCAAGGTTTTCGTTGAGTGTTTGTTACAATGTAAAAAGAAAGTATTACAACTGTAGTTATTATCAAGGTGAGTTCCTGAGTTCGTAATGATTTCTGTGATTCTGTGGTTTGAGATCATGAATTCATGAACCATGAGTATCATGACGTGAAGCATATTGACGCTCGACAGACTTGGATTTGTTTGGAATTTTGTTATTTATTTTGATAATTATTATTCACATATTTTTTAGTCAACGCAACAACTAGCTAAAGTTCTGTAAGACTGTGAAGCAAGGAAATATCTTATTGTTGATCACTACAAAGGTTCGTCGAAAAAAATATTGAATTTGAACGTTAGGTCAACATTCACTTCTGGATGCAAGCATCTTGAAAAGTGTGGATTGTTGTAATATATCAACCATTCTATACTATATCCGTGACTATACCTATTGGCAACAGCGCATATGATAACCTGTACAACTCTCATCAAATATTAGTAAGTTACATAGACCAATCGTGAACGAATATGGAATGGAATCGTTCTGTACTTCGTATATTTGGCACATAGGCCTGATTCATCCACTCACGTAAACGGAAGATGAGTAGTGAAGTGATGATATGTTAGTCAGTTAGTCAAAGAGGGTGGTTTGATACGGTTACTTGTATTGTATTTTTGGTGTTGGGAAATATACCTAGTGATTTTGGACCTAAAGAAATTTTCATTGAGTGAATATTTCACAGTTCAGATGTGCGGCGTATTCTACATGTCCTGCAAGTGTTTTTTTTTCTTTGTAGTAGTAAAGTGAAAGGTGACAAAGGTGGAATATTACATCTAGTTTTGGGAGAACATTCCAGACAAAGGTCATGGTCACCTGTTGACTGCATCGTGTAAGGGGTCAGAGAGAGGGGGGTATACAAATCAAAATTGTGAACAGGATAGGAAATGACCCTCATGTTCAACAGAAAATCGAAGAGGTAGGAAACGTTCTGCCTTTCGTTCACCATTACGTCCACAATCGCCCTTAGCATCTCCTAGATCATCGCTTTCGCCTCCACCTCGTTCTAAATGTTGCCTCATTGATGCAAGTAAGAGACTTAAACGTTAAGAACGCTTTATAGAAAATTTTTCAAATGCCGAGAACCGCAAATAACCTCGTAAGGATACGACTCGTTTCACTATGCACAGCGACTGTATACCAGAATTTTTCACAGATAATCCTAACCTAACGGCTATCAAATGGATAGAAAAGATAGAGCAGTTGAAAAATATCAACGATTGGGACGGAGTTACTACCATTCACTACATGCAGTCAAGATCTCTCCCAGATCATGTGAATTGTGCTACTGTTCTGTGGAAAATGCTGAAAAGACTAAAGTTGCCAATAGAAACGTTGATTACATACTATTTTAATAAAATGGAATTGCTAAGAACAGGTCAAATATCTGGAAAACATACTGTGTCCTGTATTATTGATGGTTTTTATCGACAAAGCTTTGCAAAACGGTGCGAGAGCTGGTCGTTACCAAACACCAGAAATTCTGTACGTACAAAATCCATCTGCGTTACAAATTGATTCATCAGTAACGGAAAAGCCGATCCAAAATGACGAACGACGTGTAAAGAAAACCCATTTGGATTTGAGAAGTTCACTGCGAGGAAAGAACAGGTTTGAAGCTTCAAACAATCGTGTCAAATGTTTCAATTGTAATCAACGAGGCCACGTAGCAGCTAACTGTTTGCAGCCTCGTTTACAGTGCAATCGTTGTAATCACATGGGCCACACTGGTGAGAACTTCACTCGTTCGCAGAAAATTCCAGATGGTAAGTCAAATCATGTCTTGAATCTTAACAGTGACGAATCGTGTTCCAATACTTGCCATATCGTTGACTGTTCAATAAACAATGAAATGTTACGAGGTGTCGTTGATTCGGGCAGTAGTGCTGTCACTATACGGGAAACAGAAGTAAAAAAGTTAGTGCTTTCAAGGCAACCCGCTAGAGAAGTTTTACGGGAATATGCCAGAGGTTCGATTTCAGTTGAGTCGCGAGTCAAGCCACCGTTTATGTAGACGCATTAGTTGTACCCGGTGGAGTTCAACAAGTTCCC